AGGAAATCAAGCAACAGATCCTGGATCTGGACTTAGAGGACAGGAGCAGAATTCCTCACCACTGTAACACTGTAGTGACTTTATGTATATTTTATGTACATTTGGAGAGAGGAGCAAACAAGCATCAAATTTTATTTTCGGTCATAGCCCACATTTCTGTGTAAAACATCAAACAACAAAATGTAATAAATTAAAGAGGGCTTTATGCACCCCTAAGTATTTATACAACATCCTCTCCAACCCTCACAGAAGAGCTTTTAGTCTCCCCATCAAAGGTTCTGGAAGGGAGGAATAGCAACGTTGCCTCCTAGGACGGGTGTCAGGTGTTCAACGTTACATCTTCTACTGAGCTGTCCATTCTACCAAATATGGTGCTCTAACTTGGTATCACCCCTTCTAAATCACTCCAAATGTCTTATGGAAAAGAATGTATCTTTTCTATTAGCTGGTTAATTCTTAGAAGACTCAAAAATGTAGCAAAATACTCTTCAATCATAATTGTTGTAAGGAAACTCTGGATATAATTAAGTTCTGATTGATTGTTCCATGTTAGAAGGCAATTAGCTAGGTTTTCCGTTTTTAATTTATTACATTTTGTTGTTTGATGTTTTACACAGAAATGTGGGCTATGACCGTAAATAAAATTTGATGCTTGTTTGCTCCTCTCTCCAAATGTGTTTTTGTACATACCCAAGAGGGATCAGCAAAATAGCATTCCCTGGCAGCACGGAAGAGGTTTCTTTCCCAGCCACAATGGAACTTGCAGCCTCCCCAAATATTTTTTTTTCAAATAATATTATAAAAATGGTTAACATCTTGCAAACGTTCCAAGCTCTCACATGAATACTCACGTGAATACAAGATATCCAGGGTTCTTGAACAAGATTTTGTGAGACAACCACCATCTTGCAAGATTTGTTGATCCCCCAAGATTTCAGGCCAAATTTGGATGTGTTTTGAGTAATTGCATGAGATTTCTAACAATATTTGGGAGGTGCTTGGCTATGATCCCCTGTATCATCATATGCAATTTGTAATCGGCTTGGTGCCACTTTTTATCCTCTTTTTAATAACATATTACCTCTTTTCCTTTTTCTGCAGGGAACAAATGGCTACCGCAAACATAGGCCACCAGGACTGTGAAGAAACAAGAGCTCGTGTGTCCTAGTAGCATCTCTGTGGATACCCAGCTGATACCAAAGAAACAGGATTCATTACATGCAGAAAACTCTCCCCATGGTTGGGATTTATATATCTAGCTCAAAGATGGCTTATCTTCAACGGTCTCCATTTCTAATTAAACCTAAATCACTCTTTAGAAGAGAGCAGGGTGATATCTCTGAACAGCTTTTTCAAAATTGTGAAAATATTAAGCTTTGTAGAAAGAGAGAGAAAGAAAACAGGAGAGTGACACCTCAAGGTCTGTTTTTGATTAATGGACCAACAGTGTAATTGCATTTTGGGTGTTTTCTTTTTTAATTGTTTTTAAACCGTTTCCTTTGATTTGTTGCACAGGGCTGGGAGGATTACTTTTAGATTACTGTTTTGACTTTAATTATATTTATAATTAATTATTATTCTGCAGAGATCCTTTTAGTTGCATTTCATATTGTGACCTGCCATGAAAGAGTTTTACTTTATAAATGACAGAGAAAACCTGGAAATTATATACATAGAGCAGTGTTTCTCATCCTTAGCAACTTTAAGATGCCTGGACTTCAATTCCCAGAATCCCCAGCCAGCCATGCTGTCTGGGGAATTCTGGGAGTTGAAGTCCAGGCATCTTAAAATTCCCAAGGTTGAAAAACACTGACACAGAGGGAAGCATATCTTAACAATTTCACAGATGAACTTAGGAGCCACACTAATCACACCCCAGTTATCATTCCAAAGGCTCCTGTTTCTTCCACTGTTGATACTAACTTTGATCCCATTAAACTATAGTTTGTTTTAACACAGTTTGATGGCAAGCAACTGTAAACTCATGCAACACATTAAGCCATAAATTATGGTTTAGAAACCACAATGGATGGATTTGCATACCAAACATGAAGGCTTATTGTGATGTGGGAAACCAATCAGGGTCTAAATCTTCTATCATCCTTTATATCCTCAACACTGAATGCTATTTCAGTATCAGCTAATTTTCTGTTTCTTTGCTTTCCTTTCTCTTCTTTTGCATTTTCAAATTCTGTATGAGTCAGATATTCTTTGCTATTCGTCCTTATAGTGGAACATCAGTCACCACTATAACATCAATGCTATGCAAAACTGTATCCCAAACGTTTTATTGCAAACTTCTATTTTTCTGAACAAAGGCTTCTAAAAGATTGCTTGGGTTTTGATCACTAGGAAGAGCAAGTGGTGCAGATTTATCAATGTATAACCAATCGCCCCCCCCCCAAAAGAAATAAATCATGGGATACCAACCAAATCCATATTTTTAAGGTTGTACATCACACAGAAGAAGCTTGACCTGTTCTCAATCATCGCAGAGTGTAGGACATGGAATAACAGCCTTAAAGGAAACCAGAATCTGGTTGAACCTCTGGAAAAATTCCTGCATTTTTAATAGTAAGAGCATTTCCAGAGGAACCCAGGAGTAGCAGGTTTCTCTTCTGTGGATGTGTGGAAGCAGAGGATGGACAGCTGTCTGCCACCGAGGCTTTCATTTGAGTTCCTGCACTGAGCAGTTGGCCCTCTTGCAATTCTTCTATGCTGTTGCCTGGTTTGCCACAAGACTAACCTGAATTTGGTAATGTCCACCACGTGTGGGAGAACGCAGTCCTGATTTCGCTGCATGTGGTGGGGACCAGATCATCACATTGAGTCATAATATGGTCTACCTATTGGGACGTAACATGCTACGTCAACAAAGCAACTGTGGTTCAGGATTTAGCAGGTTCTGTGAACCCAGCCTATACATCTATGCAGTCAACGATTCAAATATGGCCATAATCCCAAAGGACTTGGGGAGACCTGCTCACCCCACAACTCGTGAATTAGCCACTCTCTTCCCCCTTGTCTTTATTTTTTACAGAGATAGACATAGAGAGAGAGAGAGAAATATAGATACGTATCTCCATTTATTTTGGGTTTACCATTTTGCCTGGCAAATTGTTCCAAGCACCTAAACAGCCACATTATTCATTTTCTTTTTGCGACTAGATTGTTTTGTAGGCATTTTGTAAATTGTTTTTACGGTTAGAACACTATTTACAGTCATCTTGAGGTGGTTTTGCCCTGAAAGGTTTTCCTGTATTTACTTTTTTCTTTATTTGGACAAATAAAAGCAAATATAAATTCTAATACTGACAAGGCTGTTAAATAGAATCTTGCCCTGGTGACATACACAGGCAAGGGTGTCCACAATGTCACGTTGGTGGCTGAAACTGTGGGACTGAAGCCGCAAAAGATGCATAACAAGAGGGCAGGGCTTTGATCGTACAGTTGCAGATGCCAACTTGACTTTTATGACACACACACACACACACATAGGGACACAGACACTGCTGTACGTAGACATGCAGAGTAGAGGGTGGCTTCAACATACGGGATTTTTTTCTTCCCCTGGAGTTTCTTCCCCTGGATCTTTTTCTTCTGGATTTTCTTCCCCTGGGATTTTCTTCTTCCCCTGGAGACAAGGAGCAATCAGGAAGAAAAGGACAATTTAATTGATAAATAGGAAACCCTGGTGTCTAGGGAAGGTTTCAGCTTGAGCAAATCAGAGTTGTGTAACTGGGTCTTGTCTAATTCCATATTCAGTGATATGCATCACTCATCCCAGCAAACACACACACCCGCCCACCTACTGCTCCGCAAGATTGTGCAAACTTTGGCACTGGCCTGATTCCTGCTCCAGCGTGGCTGACAACAGCAGGCTGATGGCTATAGCCAGGCCACTTTGATCCGCCTGCTCTCCCTTCTGAGGGTTCTTGAGGGCTACCAGCAGGCGTGGTCTGGGGCACTGGGCAAAGCAAGGACCCCTTCAGAGAGAGAGCTGTCTGGAGAGCCCTGCAAATCATGGTTTGTCCTCTGCAAAGTAGAGCACACACACCCCCACAAATAAAGTGGGAGCGGATGCATCCCATAGGGCAGATAGGCTAACCCTAATCCCTGCTCCGCGTAGGGCTGATGGAATGGTGGCTGTTGCAGAAACGCCATGGCCAACCCCTTGCTTGAACCTAAATAATCCAGGTCCAGGTAACCATGATGTTTTTCTGCTGCTGCCTCTAGCAAGCCCTGGAGGACAACCTGTTCTTCCAAACTGGCCGCTTGACGACAGTCCTTCCCTCCTTCCTCCTTCCTCTCCTTCTTCTTTTTGAATCCCCCCTCCCCGTTCCAGCAATCCCTCCAGATCGCAATTACCATATTCCTTTGTTCCCAGCCACACTTCCGCCTCTTGGCTGAAGCAGCTGAGACAGGCTCCATATTAGGCCCAGTCAAGTTCTCCGTCTGGGTTTGTTTTGCGCCTGGTGAAAAGAACGCCACCGCCATTTGCATAAAAATGTGCTTCAAAGAGATAATATGACTATGGGGAGGGTGAGAGAGGAGGGGAGAGGAGGAGGAGGATGACGGGGTAGGGAGCAGGCTTCCAGCACGCTCATTAATCAGAAGCAAAGTAGCAGGTGCCTTCTCCGACAATCCCACTCTTTGACTTTCTGGCTTCTCTGGCAACAGACATGCCGGAAGGGGGGACTCGAATGCAGCCCAGAGGCTGGGCTCCCACATCATGCAAAGCCATGGTTTGCTCAACTGGGGTTGTCCGAATAAGCGCCCCCATGGCTGGATTTGCGTAACACACTAAGCCCTGGCAGTAATTTTTTATTATTATTCAACTTGGACACCACCAAGTCCATCTGACTCTGGGCGGCTCACAGGATAAAACCAAATAACAAATACACAGAATCATAGAACAAAACCCAGATGGCAGAACCGGTCAACAAGACAAAGCTGTCATGGATCGCCAAAGGTCTCCAACCACCCGAGCTCAATGCCTGGGAGAACAGCCAGGTCTTTAACGCCCGCTGAATGCCGTCAGGGTGGGAGCCACCCAGATCTCGGGGGGAGCCTCATTCCAGAGAGCAGGCACCGTGACAGAGAAGGCACACTTCCGGGGTCCTGACAGATGGCCCTGCTTGATTGGAGGAACCATTAACTATGGTTTACGTGCCACAAATGGCTAGATTCATGCCGCAGTGCTGACGCTCAGCTTGCTTAGCTCTAAAGTGGGACTATTCAGAAGGCTAAAGCACGAGGGGATGGTGAGGATAAACTTCAGGTATCACACTACTCTATAATGTAGTTGCTTTACTCCTGACTTAATAGGAGGTGTGAACAAGGCAACTATGGTTTATTCAGCAACACATGGTGAAATCAAATCATGTCTAAGTGTTATGCATGAATCTGATGGCTGGGTTCAGTCAACATGTTAAGTCAAAACTAAACAAACCCTATCTGCCTATTGTTTGGACCCAGCCATTGTGATTTATAAACCATGGTGTTGTGAGAAATCAGCAAACCCTTGTTTATTAACAAGCAATGGCTAAACAAAGTTTGGCTTAGTAAGTTGTGTGAACCAAGCCAATGAAAGCAATCTTGAAAGAAACAGGAGCTTAAAATGGGAGAGTTGCTAAGTGGAAAAGTTTCTGGTTGGGAAAGGGTCAGATCGTTTGAGTTGGGTAGCCTTATCAATCTTAAAAATAAAATAAAATAAATAAAATAAACACTTATTCTAACTTCACTCTCCATTCACTGAAACAACCCACTCCAAGAGGTCATTTTAAAATTCTTCTAAACAAGGCAAAACCCCTGTTCCTGAGCTGGATCTAGATTCTAGAGCAGTATTTCTCAACCTTGGGAACTTTAAGATGTATGGACTTTAATTCCCAGAATTCCCCAGCCAGCATGGCTGGCTGGGGAATTCTGGGAATTA